TCTTCATGGTTACTTTTTGTAAAGAATGCTTTGACACTAGGTTGATTATTTATTAAAAAATTACAATTATTACTCTCAGAATGTCTTTTAAAGTTTGCAACTTGATAATTGATTCCAAGTGAAATAATGTGATCACATTTGCAAATAACTATTTAGCATTGACAAATTCTTGAAAGTTAGGGTATGTAGTAAAATGTCATTGGCATGAATCATAAGGAACTCTTTTACTATTTTTAGTTTGGATTTTCTTTTTTTTTTATTAATAATGTGAATTATAGTATAACCAATGACATTTTTCATTTCTCTATGTTTGTGAATTCAGTGTAACTGAGGACATTTTTTCCTTCAAATTATATAAAGGCAGTGACCTTTTCCATTTTCCATTAATCGAATCTATAGTGAGGCGGTCACAATTTTTTTTTTAAAGTACTTTCGAATCATAGTGTTGGCAGTCACATTCAATAGAGTTTTCCCAGTCCTATAAATAATCAAGCTACAAGTTAAGGGTAGAGTGTAGGTAACACGAAATTTACTATGATACAGTAGATAATTTTTTGACTGCGAATCATTAAAAATATTAGTGTAGTCATGCATGATAACATTATTATTATATATAGAAAAAATCATTTTTATTTTATTTGTAAAAGAATGACAAATAATTATTTAATGTAACATTGTCCTTTTCTTCTATGACATCCTTTAGCAAACAAAAAAAATAAAAATAAAGCTACAGTTCACTCTCTCTATAACAAACATCTTAGTAAACGCACTTTATAATGAACTGTATATTTTCTCATGTTCCTTATTTATAAATAAATTATGATGTTAGTTAATTATATTAATTATTTTCACAAAATGACATATTAATTATATTAATTATTTCACAATACCAAGTAAAATTACAGGAAGCTCTCACGTTTTGTTTAAAGTAAAAGAAAATTTGATATAACTTCCACAAAGAATAGTATATAGTGTAAAATAGTAAATTATAAATCACGGGAAACGAACATATAAATCGGAAATGATTTACGAAGTTACACGCAAATAAAATCGGAAAAACTGATCAAGTGATCAAAACAGTTAACACCAATAAAATAATTGACTCACGGAAATATTGG